TGACATTGGTTTTCAGTACTACGAACCTCCATTGGTGTATTATTGGTGCAATGCTGCTCTCTGGACACAGTGTGACTATCTGGCTTTCAATGTGATGGTGTAATCTGGAATTGTCATCTCGCTGTTGCTTATTTTCCTTGCACAAGTTTCAATGGTGGGTATTCTTTTTTTTTTTTTTTCAAAAAACAGAACCTTATGGTTCTGGCTCCTTTTCCATTCTGGGGAGCATCAGTCTGGTTCCTATTCCACTGGCATTGTCCGGCAAGTCAAAGGTAATACATATGGGACTCACACACGCTCTTCCCCTTTACGGTAGGAAAGCCCAAGGGACGGCATTGATTACTTCCTGCCAGAAGGATGTACCTCCCCTCACCCCTGCCTAAGTTATCCTGGACTACTATACTTTTTTATCGGATTTGGTTGCTGCGTTCCTTATTGTGAAACTGGAGACTTTCCCTCTAGTTTACACCTTTTTCGGTCTGTACCCCCTATGGACTGGAAGACAGCATTTTTGAGACTGTGACCAGAAAAAGGGTGGTTTGTGTCTAAGTGGAGGCCGGGGCTTGTGGGATTTGGGCTGGTCTGGTTAGGGGCTTAGGTGTTGGTCTGGGGCGATGGGTCCGGAGCTCAGGACGTCTGGTGGCTGGGTGAGGGGAAGGTGTTTGCTGGGGTGTGTATGAGTGTGTTAGTTCCTGTTTACCTGAGGATCTGGTTCCTGGTGTGCGGGGGGGGTGTTTCTGAGGTTGAGGTGTTTGGGTGGAGGGAGGCTTTGGCGGGGTGGGGGTAGAAGATGGTGTGAGAGATGGGGCATGTGAGGTGGATGTGGTGGTTGCTGGAGGAATTGTAAGGGGTGGGTGGTGGGTGTTTAGTTAGGGTTAGTTGGAGGTGGGTTAGTGGTTATGTTAGGAGGGTGGGATTGGAGTTATTGCATGAAGGGGGGAGGATTAGCCAGTTTTTGAGGGTTAGAGTGTTATCTTTGATTGTGTCTAGTTGTCCTGATCTGCAATCAGACTCACTCTCATTCACACTTTTCATGCATGTAAACAGCAGCGCAGCAAACTGGCGACATGCGCCCACTCAAAACTCAGAGATATGGAATCCAGATACGAGTTCACTTTCAATTGGCTATGGCGACTCAGCGCCCAAACAACTCACTGTTCACATGCACCGGATCACCCTGGATATCCCACATGCGACTCTCTGAATTCACACACACACACAACACTCGCTACACACTAACTCTAGCTATGGCGGCTATGGCCACATCTACCCAATTGCTATGCTACGCTCCTTCTCTCTTGCCCATTTCAGCTCCGAGCTCACTGCAGACCTCCTTGCACAAGTCGCTGTGGCAGCGCTTCCGCATGGCTCACGCAGGAATGAAAATGGCTGGGCGCTGCCTCTTGATTTATACTTCTGAAACTCGTTGGTCTGCCCTTTGCCATCGGCCCATGGTGCTCACAGTCCCTCGTGGTACTTGCTGGACCGGACTGGGACTGCCTGGACCTTACCGCTGACTGAGTGGAGACTCACTGCTAACCTACCGAGGTCGTACTGCGATTGCACTGCAGTTTAGTCCACCACTTGCCTCACCACTTACCCACTTGCCCACTTGCTGACCTTCTAGAAGGGCGACAGCTAAGACTTCTGGAACTCCCTAAGACTTCTATTCTACAGATCTACAGATCGAACCCCTGCTACCTACGGACCTAKGACAGCCTACCAACTGTTTACGAAAACACAGGTCACAGGTTCAACTCTCGGGGTCTACACAGGTATTGTACACAGGTAGGGCAAGGTCTAGGGATCGAACCCTGGGATCGGCATCTGCTACTGCAAATGTCGGGAGCTGTTTCTAGAAATTCAAGGTCCTCCGAGAATATTTCAGTCCAAGCAGGACCTTTACCCTTCTTATCACGCTCATAGGCTCTGACTATGTCGGGAGCTGTTTCTAGAAATTCTGTCGTTGTAAACCAGCGGTCGTCTTCCGGTTCCTGATAAGCAAACCGGACCTTATACTGTTTCTGGGGACGACCTCTACCTCCTGTTCTGAACACATCCTCATCTACAATGCCGTCAATGTCATAACTTCCGTCCATATCCGGGGGGATCATGGATCTTCTTGAAGGGAACTGTTGACTTGTGACACACGGCAACAACTTTGAGGCATGAAATACAGGATAAGTGTGGAGGTGCGCTGGAATCTCTATAGTGTAGGACAGTCCATCCTCTCCGCCCTTGACTTCTAGAACCGGCCACGACCCTCTATATGCAGGCAGTAACTTCTGTGAGATGTTTAGACTTGACCAAGACTAAGTTGCCTACTTGAAACTGCGAGGGGCGACGGTGCTTATTGGCCTGTTCTACCATTCTGTGTTGGGCCTTCCTGAGGTTCTCAACAACTGTAGTTAGCTCCTTCTCGTGCTGTATCGCGAACTCCCTGGTTCCGGGCGGTAGCCTGTGAATCTGATCCCGGTTCAGTCCTTCGAACGGTCTGCGTGGTCTAAAGGACTTGTGCAGCTCATTGGGAGTGCGACAGGTGGAGAGATGCACGCTGTTATTGTATGCACTAGCTACCTTAGGCAACATCTCATCCCAGTTGATTTGGTTACGTCTAATGTACGTGCGCAGAACTTGCTGTAGGATCTTGTTCATCTGTTTTGTCTGACCGTTGGTCTCTGGATGACGGCCAGATGACATTAATAACTTTGACCCATAAACTCTCATGAGTTCTTGCCAGTTCTGGCTGGTGAAACGACTATCTCTATCGCTAACTATGGATAATGGAACTCCGTTCTCACTAACCCAATGATAAAAAAACTTCTGAATAACTAATTATGTGCGTGCCTTTGCAGGCAAAGGAACAAAAACAGCATACTTGCTAAATCGGTCAACTATGACCATGACTTGGCTCTTACCATGTCTACTCTTGACCTGAGTATCCATGAAGTCTATGGACACTGAGTCTCCCGGCTGATCAGGAATAGGCAAGGGTCTGAGGAGACCTAGAGGGGCACGCGTAGTGGTCTTGTTCCGCTGGCACTCTATGCAGTCATTCTTCATTCTTGGCGAGGTATACGCATGTATTAGATTGGCTAAAGTCTTTTGCCAACCGAAATGTCCCTCTATATCGTGGCATTCCCCTAGGATTACACTGCGGATCTCCTCGCTGTTGAGAACGCATAGACGGTCGAATACGTTAGTCTTCTCAAACAACAACCCGTCTGTAGTGCGGTAATCTGGTTCAGTCTATGGTGCCTCTCTAACTGTCTTTAGGAGGTCGCTATAGATAGGGTCCTGCGCATACGCTTGTCTCACTTTCTCCTGTAGGTCTCTCCCTATATCCAGCTAGCGTACTATGGCTCCAAAGTAGTCTGACCTCCTACTCAGAGCGTCCGCAACTACGTTGTCCTTGCCCTTCACTGCCTTGAGCTCAAAGTTGTATTGATCTATCTCAGCGGCCCACCTGGTTAGCTTAGGTGTCATCTTGGTCTGGGTCTTTAACCATCTAAGCGTCTCATAGTCAGAATATACTTTGAAGTGCCTCCCAAGCAGATAATGCTTCCAGTGCTCTAAAGCTTGCCTGAGAGCGTAGAGTTCCCTCTCGTACGTTGAGGTAGCAACCTTCTCTGAAGGCATCCTCGCTGACATGAACTCTACGGGTCTATAGCAGTTGTCGTCGTCTTGCTGCAACACGGTGCCTATTCCATGGTAACGACAAATGGCGTCCGTGGTAACGACAAATGGCAAGGACGGATCAGCTACCTTGAAGACGGGGTATTCTATTAACGCGCGCTTCAGTCTCTTTAGCGCAGACGTACAATCTTTGTCCCATTGCCTGATTGCCTCTTTCTTAAGCAACCTGCGCAAAGGAGCGGCGATAGTAGAAAAGTTCCTCATGAACTTTCTATAGTAATTAGCTAGGCCTAAGAACGACCGCAACTCTGTTAATGTGCGGGGCGTCGGCCAGTCTCTGATTGCCGCTATCTTGTTGTCCTCGGGTTTGATCCCATCTCCATCTAATACGTGGCCCAAGTACAGAACTTGTGTCTTGGCCCACTCACACTTCTTCGCGTTGATCTTGAAGTTTGACTCTCTCAACTTCTCCAAAACCTGCCTCAGATGACCCTGATGCTCCTGGAGGGTCTTGCTGAAAATTAAGATGTCATCTAAATAAACTACTACAAACTTGTCTAACCACGGCCTAAACAGATCGTCCATACATCGCTGAAACGTTGCTGGCGCGTTGGTCAGTCCAAAGGGTATCACTATAAACTCATAATGCCCATATCAGTCCGGACCGCAGTCTTGTACTGGTCATCAGGATGGACCGCAGTCTTGTATTGGTCATCAGGATGGACTTCTATCTGATGATAACCGGACTTTAGATCTATCTTAGAGAAATACTTACAACCCTGCACCCGATCTAGAAGATCGACTATCTTGGGCAGTGGTTCAACATTCTTCACAGTAATCGCATTCAAACCCCTATAGTCTATACACATACGAAGCTCTCCTTCCTTCTTGGGGACAAACAAGACTGGTGCTCCAAAAGGAGACGAACTAGGCCTGATCCAACCGTTCTCGAGGAGCTCGTCTAACTGCTTGCGTAGCTCCTCTAACTCCCTAGGGGACATCTTCTAGACTGCTCCCTTAGGAGTCCTACTGCCAAGCTCTATCTCTATCCTATGCTGGATGGGTCGCGACGCTACTCTTGTCGGCGACTCTGTCAAGTCTTTAAACTCCTCCATCAGCTTGGCAATGGTTGGATCTGTGGAACTTACCTCTTCCTTAGCCTCAGTCACAGGTCTGACATAAACTACAAAGACCTGGTCTTCTAATTGCTCCTTTTTCACTAGTCGTGCGAACGCGGGAGCACTGAGACAACAATGTGCCAAGGTGTTATCTACACCTGACACATGAAACAGGCGGGCAGTCTTAACCTCGCCTGACGGACTAGGGAGCCTACACTCATGCTCTCTCAAGTGGAGTGTGGCCCCTGCGCCTCTCCCCAATCCATTCCTAACACCATGTCGAAAGGAAGGCCATCCTGAACGAGGAGAGTCAGGGAATGGAGAATTTTCTCCACCTTCCCATTCTTCCCTAGGCGAAAGTATACCTGGACTCCCTCTACGTAGTCCTCAACATGCATTGTGTGGTTGTCTGCGAGGACACTGACTATGGGGTTTGCTAACTTTTGGACTTTTAGTCCTAGCCTCAGCTTCTTCAGCGCTCTACGGCTCATGTAACTGCGGGTGGCCCCTGAGTCTATAAGGGTCCCTACTCTACTTCTAAACACCTCTACATCGACTAAGATTAGTTGTCCCTTGCTTTCCTTCTTCATTTTGGCCCAGGCTGGCATCCTCTCCTTCAGCTCTTCTGCCACACCTGTGAGGGACGTACCTAGAGGGACGCTAACACAAGCAGTCTCTGGACAGCTAGCTAGGCACGGGCCTGCAACCTCTGCCATAGGCTCATGTGGTTTGGGAGTTTCCTGTTCGCGCGCGCTCGCTTCCCCACATGGCCTTGAAGTAGGGGTAGTTGCGACCCCTACTGGCGGCTGCCTTTTGACTGCTGAGCAGCCCAACAGGCCTGTCTGTACTGAGGACAAAATTTGATTACGTGGGCCGGGTCACCACAAAACACGCAGTGACCCAAGTTCACGCGTTCTTGCCATATACGCTGGTCCAAGCCCAAATCCTCCCAAGGCCTGCCCTGTGGCAAGCCTGGGTGCCATCCTCCTTGAGGTGCCCTTCCACCTCATCGCTGTGGGGACCGACAAAAACCCTGGCTATTTGGCGGGGGACCTTGACCCCTACCTCCCACTTGGCGGTTCCCTTGTCCGCCAACCCCCTGTGCACCCGGTCTTCGGCCTCCCATGGCCTGGCCCCTTTGGCCTTGGCCTCCTCCTCTACCTTGCGGCCTCCCTCCAGCCGCGACAGCGGCATAGGACCTCCCCTGTCCCACGCTATTGTCCTCTTCCTCAAGGCCCCACTCAATCTGACTATACGGGACCTCATCTGTACCACCTTCCTCTAAGGTAAGGATCATGTGATCCTTGGCCCTCACTTGGCCTGAGATGGTACGGCCTTTCCACTTCTTCCCCTTGTCCAGGTCCTTATGCCAGAAAGTGGTAACTGGCATGGACTTTGACTCATACAGGACCACTTCCCTACTCAACACAGCATAAGTGATGCCGGCCTGTTGAGACTTGTCAAAGAAGTGCCCACGCAGGGCCTCTGGCATGGCACGATAAAACAATTGCACCAATTGGGTCTCAGGGACCCCATGGTCTGGGACGGCTACTAAGTCGTCCATGACGCGCTTGAGTGCTCTTGCACTCCTCCACTGTCGCGAGTGGATTGTCTGTAACTTGTCAGAGGCCCTGACGCCTCTCGTTGGGTCAGCAAATCGCTCCCTCAGGAGCTTAAAGAATTGAGGAAGGGGGGTGACTTTAGAGTATGCAACTAGGTTGTTTTCACAACCTGCTGCGCGCGCGAGGGACCTGGCAAAACTAGCCGCCTCATCCTTAAGAGCCTGGAAGACCACGAGGACTTGCTCCTCAGTCAGGATGTGCTGTAAATAAACGTAGTTGTTGACGCTTGCCTCCCAGTTATCAAAATTTTCCTCCTTCTTCCCCCCATAGGCATCAGGGAATTTAAGCTTCACAGGCTCTTTACGGGGCCTGGCCTCACCCTCTACAGCAGCTATCGCTTTGGCACCTTCGATGGCGCCCTCGCAGAACTTTCCCACGCTGTCCCTCAACCGCCTAACTTCGCCTCCAACGTGGGTAACCATATCTCGCGCAAAATCTCTAAACCCTGACTGCATGGCACTCAATGCTACCTCTTGGCACCTGTTGGTCTGGCGCTCCTCCATCCAGGCTGCACTCAACAACTCTACATATCCCAGCACCTTATCCATCTTGGCAGACATGTCTGTCTGCGCTTGCACTTCTTGTCTGCAGTCCTTCAATTTTGCCACTTCTGCGGTCAATCTATTAACGTCATCCCTCCTTCTCTTCTTCTCCCTCTTCATCCTTAGCTTCCACTCCAACTTCTTCTCTTCTTCCCTTTCCCTCCGTTCCAGAGGGTCCTCCATTGCCGCTAGCTCCTGGGCTAACGCATCCCTCTCGTCCTGGGGCACATAGAACTCTACCTCCTCATGCTCCCCCAACGATAAGTTAGCGATCCACTCACTTATCTTCTTCTCCATTGCGGCGTCCTCATTCGCCGTGCCACTACTTTCCCCTTTCTCTTCTATACGTCTTTTCTCTTTTTGCTCTTCTGCTGCTGCTTCCTCTTCGGCAACCTTTCTCTTTTCTTCCTCCTCCTGCTGAATCCTCATCATCTCCTCCTCCATTTTTTTCCTCTTCGACGCCTGCTCTTCTGCGATTGCCTTCTACTTCCTTTCCTTATTTTCTCTTACTAAGGCGGTCATCTTCTCTTGCTGCTCCTGAGTGTAGGGGTTAGTACTCTTCCCACTACGCAAGTCCACCATGGTGATAGGTGCACAATCAGAACAATTCCACTCCTCACCACTTAGACTCTAACCCCTGACTGACAGACCTACTGACTCAATCTAAGACTCACAGAATCCGAACAGGGATCCTGCCAACTAGGGTCTCTAGCCTGGACCTAACTATGGTTGTCACTACTAGACATGTTGCTGATCAGGAGGCATTTAAGGAGATCCCCCGTAACTCCTCAGGAATCATTTAACGTCGCAGACAGGACGACACGATCAGCAGGTCTCTCAACACTTAGACGGCCTGCTGTGAAGCCCACAACTCGGATTTTGGGCCTACCGTGCCACACCGAGCAGCCCGCCGGTCAGTACCGGTATCGCGCCCCCACCGCTTCAAGGGTTTTTGGTTAGATGCTCTTCCCCGGACCGAGCTCAGTGGGTTGGTGGACTAGCAGACTGTCACGCAGGATTTCGATAGGTATGGAATAAAGCTGTCTTCAAAGGCAGTCTTTGTCACACTTAGTCATACACCCAAGTAGTCAGGGTTATCCCTCCTGCCAGCGGCGACACGGCTTAGAGTGAGGCGTTCGGGTTTATCGCCTGCACCTGACCCCGTATACAGGTTAGATTCAAGGTCACCGGAGTCCCTATTATCCAAGAGTCCTTCAAGCTGCCTTGAGTGTAACCTGTGAAACATAAGGAGGAAAACAACATACATACATCATAGAGCAATCGACACTGACAGAACGAGAAGACCAGAAACCAGACTCTGCAAGAGCATGACGAGACTGAAGAGTAGTACACAATGTATGCAGGGAGCAGCCATCGGACGGCTGCAGTCACTAATAGATCATAATAATGTCATAATACATCATAGTGACTAAAAAAAAGAGAGGACCTCAATCAATAATGACAAGTGGCACCCCCTTGTGAGTAAGTGTCGCTGTTTGGGACTCCATGTCTGGTACCCGCTGGTTTCCCTCGTCATTGAGAACTCGTGTGGCTATCGACTTTGAAACCACATAGCTGATATCAACAGGCGCTGCTGGATCAATCTTGAAGATATAGGCCATGCATCTCGCCATCTCCTCGTCTGCAACGCTCCTGAGATAAAGCTCCTCTGCGAGGGTGATGTTGCCCGTAGCTCCAATCAGTATCTCAATCCGTCCTCTCCTATCCGCATAGACGTAAGAAACCTCGAGGAAACGATCTCCGTAAAGAGGCTTCCGAAAAGCCTGCATAGCAAAGTCAGCCCCGACCAAATGACTATAGCCATCCCCAAGATATGGGACTGGACCTTCCCGTCTTGGAGGACCAACAATTGCCTCGGTCCTAGGGTCGTCTGACATGTAGAAGTCAATCACCTTCGAGCAGATACCGTGAAAGAAGATACGCAATCCTCCTCAATGTCGCTCTCCTCCGTCGCCGCTCACCGGTCTCCAGCGCTCCTGTCACTGTCCACTGACTCAGTCTCTGTGAGTGTCCCAGTCGAAGTAGTCGCCAAGATCAATGTCACTCACGCAGCAGGGCTCCTGGTCGGACTCATCCTTCTCATATCTCTGTACGCATGTAGTGATCGGGACTGCGGATCTGGCTATCTCCCTCCTAATCCGGTTGTCCTTCCGCCTCTTCTCCTTGCTGCGAGACTCACTGAGGGGTTTGGGGTTACACCCATCAAAGTCAAAGAGTACACCCCCAGGTGTTGAAGGTACGCGAAGGAACACCATGTGTAGCCAATTATCCCTCCAATAGCTCTCCCTGCGAAATATGTAGTCAGCAAAACTGTCATACGTGGTGCCCTTCACCCCCTTCTCTGCCCCCTTTACCGAATAGGTAATCACTAGTKTGTGTCTCGAAGTTGGGAACTCATTGGCCCTGATAACAAAGCTTTGATGTCCCACATGTCGGTAGCAGAACCTCTCAACTAGTCTACCCCACGTAGGGGCAGCTTCACGATGACGGGCCAGCTTGGACAGAAGGCGCACTCTCACTAGTGCGGATGATCCCTCCAAGACCTGGTCGGATGGTAGTCAGCAACTCAATGTTAGTGCCTGCCCGAGTGAGCTCGGCTGAACAAACAACCTCAAGGAATGGACCCGCCTGAAGGGGCCCGGCTAAAACAGCAACGATCTCAAAAAATGGGCCCGCCTGAAGGGGCCTGGCTGAACTGCAGCAATCTCAGGGAATGGGCCCGCCTGAAGGGGCCCGACTGAACAGCAACAATCTCAAGTAGGCCCGCCTAAAGGGGCCCGGCTGAACAGCAACAATCTCAAGTAGGCCCGCCTGAAGGGGCCTGGCTGATCAGCAACAATCTCAAATAGGCCCGCCTGAAGGGGCCCGGCTGAACAGCAACAATCTCATGGAATGGGCCCGCAGGGCCTGACTGATCAGCAACAATCTCAAATAGGCCCGCCTGAAGGGGCCCGACTGAACAGCAACAATCTCAAGTAGGCCAGCCTGAAGGGGCCCGACTGAACAACTGATCAGCAAGACATCTCATGCACAGGGACCAATCATAAATGTTGAATGTACTAGGGCTGGACTGTACCAAGTCGTTTGTGCAGGGACTGAACTGCAAATGCTCCCCGTGTGGAAGATATCATGTGCATGGGGTGGTGCTGATCAGCAAGGAAATAAATCGACGGGAGCGTGATGGCAAATCATCCCAGCAGGAGCATAGTACTCGCTCTGAGGTCATCATCTCAAAAGGGCGCGCACTCTAATGGGCGCGCACTCAATTGACAATATCCAGCCTGGGCGCGCATAGGCGCGCACTCTAATAACGGTTCCAGGCTTGGGCGCGCATGGGCACACACTCAAACAGCAATATCCAGCGCAAGCGCGCATGGGCGCGTAGTCAAATGACAGTATCGAGCATGGGTGCACATGGGAGCGCACTCTAACAGCGATGTCAAGCTTGGGCGCACATGGCCGCGCACTCTAACAGCAATGCCAAGCTTGGGCGCGCATGGGCGAACACTCAAATAGCTATTCCCAACTTGAACGCGCATGTGCGCGCACTCAAATAGCAATCCCAGGAATGGGTGCGCATGGGCGCGCACTCAAATAGCAATCCCAGGCATCTGCGCGCATGGGCGCGCACTCAAATATTAATCTCAAGCTCAGGAGCGCACTCAAATAACAATGCCAGGCTCGGGCGCGCGTGGGCACGCACTCAAATAATAACATCAGGCTTGGGTGCGCATGGGCATGCACTCAAATAATAATATCAAGCTCAGGCGTGCATGGGCGCGCACTCAAATAACAACACCTAGCCTGGGCGCGCATGGGAGCACAATATCAAGCTTGGGCGCGCATGGGCGCGCAATATCAAGCTTGGGCGCGCATGCGTGCCCACTCTTTCAGTCAACAGCCTGCAGTATTAAAAAAAAGTAAACCTCACAGTGCTTGGTTATTAAATGCAACACTCGGCCTTAGGGCCGGGACGTGTGATCAGCCAAGTAGAAGCTAAATAAGTCAAATCTCACTGAATTCAACGCCCGGTCTTCACTTACGGCCAGGGTGCTGTTACCAGCAACATGTGTGATCGGTCAAACACTTGTGAGATTGGCAGTGGTGTGCCACCCTTGACCTTCACTCAGGGTCAGAACACCACTGCCCTCAAGCAGGTGACCAGTCGAGCAGGAGCTGATCCTACGATAAAATAATTAAATAAAATGACATATGTTGTGCCCTACAGCTAAGTGCATCACTCGGCTTTCACTTGTAGCTGAGGCACTGCAGCTTGCCGCGTGTGCGACCAGCCAAGCAAGTGCTGGTCTTATATCAATAATTCACGCAGCGGAGTGCACCACTCAGCCTTCACTTAGGGCTGAGGCACTGTTGTCCGCTGTGTGTGTAACCAGCCAAGCAAGTGCTGGCGATAAATCAATAAGTAAGGCAGCTGAGTGCACCACTCAGCCTTCACTTAGGGCTGAGACACTGCTGCCTGCTGCGTGTGTGACCAGTCAAGCAAGTGCTGGTCATAAATCAAGTAAAATAATTGTATCTGACAGCTGAGTGCACCGCTCAGCCTTCACTTAGGGCTGAGGCACTGCTGGTCATAAATCAAGTAAAATAATTGTATCTAACAGCTGAGTGCCCCGCTCAGCCTTCACTTAGGGCCAAGGCAGCACAGCCCATAGCATGCGTGACCAGCCAAAGAATTGCTGGACGCATGATAAAATAAATAAAATAACCCTCACTATGCTCAGCAATTGACGGCTTCACTTAGCCTTCACTTAGGGCCAAGGGACCACAGCTCATAGCGTGCATGATCAGCGGCATAATAAAATAAAATAAATAACATAACTCTCACTGTGCTCAGCAGTTGAGGGCTACTTGCGCAGACTTGCCAAGTGGCTGAACATAATCTTATCAAGCTGCGCAGACCAGCCATGTGACTWATCAAGTTGCGCCAGCCTGCCTAGTGGCAGATTGGAATCGTACCAGGCTGAGCCGGACTGCCAAAGCAACCAACCAGAACGGTACCAGGCTGCGCCAGACTGCGAAGAGTCAAATCGGAACTGTATCAGGCTGCGCCACACTGTCAAGCGACAGATCAGAATCGTACCAGGCTGCGCCAGCCTGCAAAGTGACAGATCAGCGCACATCAATGTTGCGTCAGCCCGCCAAGTGACAGACCAGGGCTATACCGAGCTGCGCCAGCCTGCCAAGTAACAGGTCAAGGCCTTRCTGAGCTGCACAAGCCCACCAAGTGGCGGACCGGATCCTTCAAAACTGTGCAGACCTTCCAGGAACCAAATCATGCTGTGCARGCCTGCCACGYGGCAGGTCAGACCCTTATCGATCTGCRCGGCCCCGTCAAGTGGCTAGACAATGTCATATCAAGCCGCGCAGGTCTGCCAAGTACTGGATCAAAGTYGAGTCACGCTGCGCAGACCAGTCATGTGGCAGATCAGATCCTGCGCAAGCCCATCAAGTAGCGGAACAGCATCATATCGAGCCGCACAGGTCTGCCTAGTGCTGAATGATCATTAGATTGCTAAGTCAACAAAAGTGAGCAAGAATCCACAATTCGCAGCAAAAGCAGCGCGCATGGGCGCAGGCGG